GCAACGCGTACAAAGCGCATAATCTGCAGGCGGCCTGTTGTCCTCGCGACAGAATTTCAAATAGAATTGCAGCTCTTCCCCAGCACATCGCTTCATCATGACCTTGAAATCTGCCCCAATGCAGTCAGCACCGAGACGTTTACGCCAGATCGTTCTGATGTGTTCACGGATGACAGTGGCCACGTCGTTATCGTCTACTCCGTCAACCACAATCGATCAAGCGCGAGATCTCTTCTCCTCCATCCTGCCCAGCTCAGCCCCGTCACGGGGTCTGCGCTTGGCAGACGGCCCAGGAACTGGAGGCGGCGGTGCACTGAACTTCTCGAAAGATTCAGTAAAGAGCGAAACCATCTTGTCAGTCGCACAGAACACGCCATCTCACGTCCCCAATCGCATACGTGACAGCAGTCATCGCATTCTTCGTTATAAGTACGCTGGGACCACTCATGACGACTCAAGCGCGCAGAACTGCATTCAATGTCATACTGCCTCAAGAACTGCTCGACACCATAACTGACAGCAACAGAGCGATGCCGACCAGAACGACAGGTGGCAACGAGGCACACAGACAATGAAAACTCGTTCTTCGCCAAAACCTTTCCAGCACACTCAGCGATGCCAACAATATGCTAATTATTAACTGAATTGCGCTAGATATTCGGACGATGACCGATATGGCGTGCGCGAGTCGGGTCGTCCAGAGCCCTGGTGTCCACTAACACGCACCGCTCACTGTTCGCCATATTCTCATCTGCAGCAATGAGCGCATCTATGATGGCATTGGCGTCGCGCCCTCTGGTTGTCATATCATGACTGGAGCGATGGCGACGGCGGATGTACTCTCTCAGCATCGACGACCCCGAGCACCTCGGGTTCTTCTCGAAGTTCCCCAAGCCCAGCGCGATCACAGCAAACTTCGAGCCCTTTGGTGCAGGACGAGCACCAGCACCAGCAGCCACGGCAGCGACTCGCACGTCCTCGTCGCCACTGGAGTGATCGACGGGCGCAGGCACACACGTGACCCCATCGCCACTGCAGTGATCGACGACAGCAGGCGGCGCGGCGCGGCCGGCGGGAGCTGTGCAGCTGCTAAAGTACGACATGTGCAACGGACGAATGGAACCCGCAACGCGTTTTGGGTCAAACTGATCAAGGCGAATGATAAGAAGACCTGAGCGCGCACAACGACACATTTCTACCTCACCTTACTGACTCAAGAGAGCGCGACGATTAGCGAGATCCTTCGCGAGACCGAGAGAAGCCTGCGCAGGGAGAGATGACACGAGAGGAAAACGATCCGAATATTTCAACTGATGTGACGATAGACATCCACTCACGGCGCCACGAGAAGCAACGATACGAAACGGGAAACCCTTCTTACCTGTCATCTCACTCCCTGCCTGTCCCCCGATACCGCTGTACGTCCTACGCTGTCTGCGACGCCACTGGGGATAGAAGCCCAATTTCTAACATGCATCCTCTGCGTTACCACCCAAGCTTTACCGTGGCAACAAGAATTACATCCATCGTCTAGAACAACCCAAACACCTTCGTCCTTGAAGACGTCAACCGTACGAACCTTAGATAGAGATGCACGGTCGAAACGTTCTGTGTTGGAGCCATCGAACCGACAAAACTGTGATCTGTGATTTCTGCGACACAGCCATGAAGCAATGAAGTTAGTTCACCTGTACTGATGTCACCTGTATCATCGCAAATCTCAACAGCACGTGAGGCGAAAGCCTTTATTTCAACGTGATAACTCTACAGAGGTGATACGGCGACCATCCTCAATGATATCATCGATTGATTTCACTCGCAGGTTGCTGGAGCGTTCAACTTTCTTTGCCGTGGCTTTCTTGTCTTCTGCTAGCTTCCTGGGCTGCTCGTCGATACGCGTCGGGCAACGACAACCATACTCACAAACCACATCTGGAATACTGCCGAGTTACCTACGAGATCGCGCGGACACTCCTGGGGCGCGCAGTGCCGCGCACACCTCCCCCTCTTGGTCTTGCGCCCGCAATCCCTGCAGGCGCGAACAAATAAACGAGCACTAGGGCCCACTCCTCGGATTCCGACAACCTCGGGCACATGGACGAGGCAACGGGGGATCCAGAGGTTTCCTGTTCAGGCCGGAATAAGAACTCGAAGAAGGCACAACTTTGTCGCTGGAAACTTTCGGCACCGAAACTCCCACAAACTGTCCGTCTTCCTTCCGGGTAAAGTTGCTATCGACCCATCCTAAGAACAGAACCAGATCCCCACTTGGTTTCTTCACCTTGCGACCCCAATCTACGTAGTCTGGAGTATCCCTGAGAACACGACCATAACTGAGCCCTTCGCGCTGGCCCGAAGCAAACACAATATCCTGACCAGGAACAGAGATAGGGCCCGAAACAGATTCCTCATCCTCAAACTCCTCATCAGAAACACTAGCCACGGGGTGAGATTCGGTCGAGCGAACAGCCATGAACCCAAGAGTACCCCCCTCAGCATCTGCAGAGATCTGAACACTCTTCCCCTGAAGCTCTGGGGGGCCCTGAACCGGAGCGGCTTCGGTCATTCCCATGCAACTCCCACGGGCGCGATGCTCAACGCGGTCACGCTGCAAGCTACACTGCCCGTCACAAGTCACTCCCTCACGCACGCATGCCCTGTGACACATGAGGCGGGAAGAGAAAAAGGAGCAGGCACGAGAAACACCAGAATCCATCCTTATCGACTCCTCCATGTTCCTAATGGCATGATGAGGGATTGATGGTGATACGGCAACAGAACTGACAGATGTGAACTTTCGTTCGTCATCGCCCTCGCGCAACTGGACATGGCGGTCGCCAGTGTCTCCAGTGTACGCTACCATTGCCGTCCCGGGCTTGCCCTTGCATTCAGGGCCCCCGGACCAGTGGCCTGTTTCGCGGCAGGTCTTGAATTTCGAGCGTTTCTCGATCTCCTGGAGCCGCGCCCCGCAATCTTCCAGGGAAGGTCCTCCCTTGCCGCCTCCCTTGGGCGACCGGGGCGCGCAGTGGCAACTCTTGCCCCCGCTCTTTCCTTTGCCTTTGCTCCTCCCTTTGGCGCCAAGGTTGGCTACCAGGTCCTCTTGGATCGCGTCAGAAGCTTCTTCCTCTGCATATCCGACCTTGACCATCTCGTCGACCACCTCGCCGTCGAGCTCGCTGCTATCCTGGACAGGAGCCCAATGAGCATACGATTCCTCGTCGACGCAGGTGCGTTCGTCGGCGAAGTCGCCCCGGGCCGCGTCGCCCCACCCGTGCTCCGGCGCATAGCCGGGCGCGTAATATCCGTAGGGGCTCAGCTCCTCAGGGCAATGCTCCTCCTGCACGTACCATCCTTCATGAGCAGTGTAGAAGGCGTGTTGCGGCCTGGAGAAGCGCACTTTGCCCTTGCCCTTGTTCCTGTTCTGGTAGCTGGGTCTGGGCCGCGCCCACGTCGATGAGCTGGGGCCTTTGCCAGACTCACCCTTGCCTTTTTGGCGGATGTGCATGCGGTCGTGCTGGAGGATCTTGTCGAAGGTCGTCACATTTCCTGTAGATGTCAACACCATCAGGTTGTCCGAAGGCGACAGGCCTGCATGGTCCAAGAGACGGGATCCAAGCACATCGTCACTCATCAAGATCTCAGGATCTCGCTTGGAGACAAGTTTCCACCAGCGCTTCCATCGGGAGATGTACGAGACCATAGACTCACCGTGCTGTCGACACAGTGGTCCATATGGTCTCTGCCCCACCTGGAACAGGATCTTCGCTTCCTGTGCCTCGATGGGGAAGAATGAAGTACGAATCGCCAGCGCCAACTGATCGATCCCATTCGGAGTCAGAGCACGTCTTTACCGGTATCCATGGCGATATCGAACGCGTCACGTCTGAGGCCTTCTACAGCCTTTTTGACAGCTGCGGTGATCACGTGTTGATGTGGTGCACCCGTCTCTTGATCCACTGAGGCCAAGGCGGCACTCATGCGAATCTCTGTGCGGCATTCCCACTCGTGGAAGTTGTTCACCGTGCCGTCGTAGATGTAGGAGCCACTCTTCGTCTCGGATCGCGTCAGCGCGTCGGCGCTCGGCCGGTAGCGAAGGAAAGAAAGTGCCATGGCGCACGGCCCAGTCCCCAGGCGAGGGAAACTGCCAGCACGGGAAGTAAAGAGAGGTTGTGCGACACTCTCTGATGAGACGTGCGCGCAGTGGTACGCTACGGGAATCGTGTGGTAGCTCCGCTACCAGTGTGATTATGATGCGTTTTAGCGCAATGGCAAAAAGGGGCCCCTAGATGTCAAACGGCGGCGAGTGGCGGCGAGTGGTGCATATACACACGTCACGCATGCACGATCTCACAATCAGCATCATCAACATCGTCATCATCATCATTAGCAGCATCATCATCAGCATCAGCGTCATCATCAGCATCATCATCAGCATCATCAGCATCGTCATCAGCATCATCAACATCATCATCAGCACATCATCAGCATCATCATCGTCGTCAGCATCATCATCAGAATCATCAACATCGGCATCATAATATTCATCAGCATCAGCATCATCATCAGCAGCATAATCCGCAGCATCATCATCAGTATCATCATCAACAGCAGCATGATCAACATCACCATCATCATCAGCACCAGCATCATCTTCAGTATCAACATCACCATCATCATCAACAACAGCATCATCATCATCATCATGAGGATCATCAGCAGCAGCATCATCATCAGCATCATCATCCCGCACTGCTCCTCTATCATCGTCACTCCATCCTTCTCATGCCTCCTCCCTCCCCTCTCCTTTTCCTTCCCTCACTCTCCCTTCGTTTCCAGCTGCTGCTGCTGCTGCGGCTGCTGCTGGTGATGCTCGTTCTTCCCTCGGAGGTATCCAAAGACCTTCGGGAGTATCAAGAGGTCCCTGAAGATCGCATAAGTCGCCCAAAGTGGCAGAGGCATCAAAGAAATCAATATTAATCCTCGAGGCTCCTCCTCCGAGCCTCCCCATACGGGCAAGGCTGGTCGTAGAACAGCGGGTCCCTGCCGCGCATGTCGGTGTGGATGCCATCGCACTGCAGCCCGCGGTAACGGTTCGTCAGCTGCCAGCGCTTCGTCATGGGCACCTCTGTCATGGGGATCGCCTCCGCCAGGATCGATAGGATCGGGGAGACCTAAGACTCGGGTACGGGAGACTGGGGTTGGCCCGACGGGGGCCCTCATAAAAATGACGAGACCCAGTCTGAAATTTGACGCGAGCTCCCGCGGCAGACATCCCACGAAAACTGGACCGTCAGAATCCAGGACACGCTCGTCAAAAAACGTCGGCAAACCACAGTTCCCGCTTACACGAGTCTTACGTTACCCCGATTTGGGAGTCCCGAAACGGTGCGGTGACAGACCGTGCGGTGACCTCCAAATCCCCCAAGACCTCAACGCACGGTCCGTCACCGCACGGTCTTGGGACCCCGGAGGCCCCTGTCGCACGAGACATCCTCGGAGAACGACCCGAGTCCCAAAACCGTGCGGTGACCCCGAATCCCCACCGACTCACCGCACGGTGTGGTCACCGCCCCGTTTGGGGGCCCCCGACCGATGGGAGGGAGGAGGCGGAGGAGGCGGGAGTTCCCGGAGGTCTCGTGGGGTTCCCCTGGAGGTCTCCAGGCCTCGGGAGCCCCAGGATGTCGCCACGGGCCTTCAGGTGAGGGAGGAGGAGGGGAGAGGAGGAGAGAGGGAGGAGAAGGGAGCAGGAAGAGGAGGAAGAGGAGAGGGAGCGAGGATAACGAGGAGGAGGAATAGGAGAAATGAGGGCAACGAGGAGGAGGAGGAGGAGAGGAGGAGGAGGAGGAGGAGGAGGAGGAAGGCCGTTTGCGGAACTCCACCGCTCGCTCGCTCGTTCGGCCGCGCACCTGGTAGGACGAGTTGGCAAATGCAAGTTGCGACGTTGGCAACCGTAAGGTAAAAAAAACGCAACAAAAACATAATTGCACAGTTACAACAAGTGCTGCAAAAGCACTTCGAATGGGGAGGGGGACGGGAAAAAGATAGATTGCCTCCTCCTCCTCCTCCTCCTCCTCCTCCTCCTCCTCCTCCTCCCTCCTCCTCCTCATCTTCCTCTTCCTCTCCTCTTCCTCCTTCCTCCTCCTCCTCCTCCTCCTCCTCCTCCTCCTCCTCCTCCTCCTCCTCCTCCTCCTCCTCCTCCTCCTCCTCCTCCCTCCGCCTCCGCCTCCGCCTCCGCCTCCGCCTCCGCCTCCGCCTCCGCCTCCCTCCCCTCCGCCTCCGCCTCCGCCTCCGCCTCCGCCTCCGCCTCCTCCTCCTCCTCCTCCTCCTCCTCCTCTCCTCCTCCTCCTCCTCCTCCTCCTCCTCCTCCTCCTCCTCCTCCTCCTCCTCCTCCTCCTCCTCCGCCTTCTCCTCCGCCTCCGCCTCCGCCTCCGCCTCCGCCTCCGCCTCCGCCTCCGCCTCCGCCTCCGCCTCCGCCTCCGCCTCCGCCTCCGCCTCCGCCTCCGCCTCCGCCTCCGCCTCCGCCTCCGCCTCCGCCTCCGCCTCCGCCTCCCTCCTCCTCCCGCCTCCTCCTCCTCCTCTCCTCCTCCTCCCTCCTCCTCCTCCTCCTCCTCCTCCTCCGCCTCCGCCTCCGCCTCCGCCTCCGCCTCCGCCTCCGCTCCGCCTCCGCCTCCGCCTCCGCTCCGCCTCCGCCTCCGCCTCCGCCTCCGCCTCCTCCTCCTCCTCCTCCTCCTCCTCCTCCTCCTCCTCTTCTTCTTCTTCTTCTTCTTATTATTATTATTATTATTATTATTATTATGTTTCGTCTTATTCTTATTCTTATTCTTCTTCTTATTATTATTATTCTTCTTATTCTTCTTATTATTATTATTCTTCTTCTTATTATGATTCTTATTATTATTATTATTAGTATTCTTATTATTCTTATTATTATTATTCTTATTCTTCTTATTCTTCTTATTATTCTTATTATTATTCTTCGTATTCTTCTTATTATTCTTATTATTATTATTCTTAGTCTTCTTATTCTTATTCTTATTATTCTTATTATTCTTCTTATTATTCTTCTGCTTCTTCTTATTATTATTATTATTCGTCGTCTTCTTCTTCTTAGTCTTCTTCTTCCTATTCTTATTATTATTATTCTTATTCGTCTTCGTAGTATTCTTATTTTTCTTCTTATTCGTCTTCTTATTATTCTTCTTATTATTATTATGCTTCTTCTTATTATTATTCTTCTTCGTATTCTTCTTCTGATTATTATTATTATTATTATTAGTATTATTCTTATTCGTCGTCTTCTTCTTCTTCGTCTTCTTCTTCTTCTTCTTATGCGTCGTCTTCTTCTTCTTCTTATTCTTATTCTTCTTATTCGTCTTCTTAGTATTCGTCTTCGTCTTATTATTATTATTATTCTTATTATTATTCTTATTCTTCTTCTTATTATTCTTATTATTCGTCTTCTTCTTATTCTTCTTCTCATTATTATTAGTCTTCTTCTGC